ATTTGAATCAGTTTTTTTTTCACATAAGACGATTTTCATCCATTTTCCCACAAATACTATAAATTTATTCTTGTTGATAACAGTGATATTCCATTACATATATCAGTATTAAATATTCTTCATCCATTTATCTATTGGAGGCTCTCTAGGCTGATTATATAATTTGGCTGCTCGAGATAGTGTCATATTAACTGTGGTATACAGGTTTATTTATAGTTTGCAGACTTTGATTCTTTTACGCATGTACTCAGAAGTGATATGGCTAGATAACGTGGGAGTTCTACTTTTCATTTTGTGAAGAGGTTGCATACTGATATCCATAGCAGTGGTTCTGATTTACATTCCCACCAGCCATGTGTAAGGGTCCCTTTGCACTGAATCCTCACCAGCATTTGCTGCTGTTTTCTTGATGATAGCATTATGATTTGGAAGATGTTATTCTGTGAACCTTTTAATCTCCAATTTCTCTTTTCAGGAACAGGAAAAAATTTTTAATGATAAAATCAAGGAGCAGAATCAAAATCATTATAGAGAAATCATGAATTTAAAGGAGGAGAAAGCTCGATGTTCCGTCATGTGAAAAGTCAAAGCACATTGATTTCCTCCCTGGCTGCCTCATTTCAGGGCACAGTTTTAGTGATTAGAGCTTTTCATACTTAGAACTAAAGATAATCCAGAATAATAAAGTTGGCAAAGCTTAAGTGTATATTCATTGTGCAAAGTGGGGACATCATTACGACATTTCCAGAGACGTTGGTGAAATATGTTGATTCTCACAATGGTGAGGGTGTACACACCATGCTTATTGACAATATTAGTTATCGGTAAAATGTTTCAGAGTATTGTAGTTAATCTTGGTTGTCAATTTGACTGGATCTTTGCTCTCTCACAAATATTCAAAACCTCTGTACACAGAGTAATAATTTCTTGTTCTTCACAAGAAACGAATCATTTCTAATTCATTCAAGCAGAAGTATGGGGAATGTGATATAGAATCAATTTTAAGGGTGGGAGATATTGGTGGAAGGAACATAAAATTGGATCAGGCTGAGTTTATCCATATGGGTCCATTGAGTAGATCCTAGGTTTAATATGGAAACTCGCACACTTTAAAAAGGTGTTAAAAAAGTTTGACTGGTTGGCTGAAGTATTTATCAAACTGTGGCCTACTGAGAAAGAGCTGGAGATGCCTGATATTCCTTGGCTTAGTGTTGATGAAGGGATTTTAAGGTTCAGGCAATTCAAATGCTTGAGTAAATTTGCTGTGTAAAACAGAATCCTCCACATTCGGAGGGCTCAGAGGACATGCATTTCACTGAGGTTCTAAGGTGTAAAATAGTGAGAGAGACACCAGGACAGTTTAAGGGCTTTGTTTTTGCTCTTTTTCTTGTGCCACATCATATAGTTAGAGATGCTGCTGCTCAGTTGCATGAATTAAATGTAATCGGTTTAACAGTACCTCAGAGTAGTAGTCAGGTGGCAGCACTGACTCACCAAAGACAAGGTAAGCACAGTTATAATGGACGGCAAAGGCAAAACAATGCCTGTAATAACAAGACAGGAATGAACCTTTGGTTCTGGCTAACCAATCATGGTGTTTCCAGGGATCAAATATATACAAAACCTACTCAGTTTTTATTTCATCTGTATAAGCAGAAAAGCTCTAGAACAAATGACAGAAAGTTTACTGGATCCTAGTTCTTAATGTTTCTTCTATTCTTCACCGAAGAGACCTACAGCCTTTTTTTACGAGGGCAATTGTACACTGGGGAAAAGGAAATAATAAGGCTTTTCAGGGTTACTAGACCCTGGTTCTGAATGGACATTGATTTCACAAGAGCTCAGAAAGCATCGTGTCCCTCCCATTAAAGTAGAGGCTTATACAGGACAGGTGGTCAATGGAATATTAGCTGTAGTCTGGTTCATGGTATGTCCAGGGGGTGTCTCTGTAATCATCCCATGGCAATTTCCCCAGTCTTAAAATGCATAGTTGGGAAAGATATACTTAGAAGTCAGAAGAATCTCCACATTGGTTCTCTGACCTGTAGAGTGAGGGATAGCCTGGTTGCAAGAGTCAAATGAAAGCCATTGGCTCCACCTCTACCAGAGAAAGTAGTTGAACCAAAAGCAATATCACATCTCTGGTGTAATTCCAGAAATTAGTGCCATCAACAAGGTCTTGGAAGACGCACAGGTGGTGGTTCCCACCACAGCTTCCTTTAACTCTCCTATTTGGTCTATACAGGAGATGAATCATGGAGAAAGACAATTGATTATTGCAAACCTAATCAAGTTGAGACTCCCATTGCAGCTGCTGTACCAGATGTAATTTCATTACTTAAGCAGATTAGCACATCTCCTGATATGTGGTATGCTATGCAGCTGCTGATGTCACAGATGCTTTTGTTCTCAATACCTGTTCATAAGGACCATCAAAAGCAACTGGTTTTCAGTGGCCATGGCTGGTGGTACAGCTTTATGCTTCTATCTCAAGGGCATTTAAATTCTCCAGTCCTGTAGTTCACAGAAATCTTAATCACTTATCTCTTCCACAAGGTATCACACTGATCCATTATATTAATGACATTATACTGATTGCACCAAGTAGCAGGAGGCAGCAACCACTCTAGACATGTTAGTAAAGCATATGTGTAGAATGGGGAACGAATCCAACTGAATGTCAAGGGCCTTCTACCTCTGTAGATTTTCTAGGTGTACAGTGGTGTGGGCATGCAAAGATACTCCTCCCAAGGTGAAAGGTAAATTGTTGTGCCTGGCCCCTCCTACCACCCCGAAAGAAACACAGAACTTAGGGGACATATTTGGATTTTAGAAACAGCACATTTTTCACTTGGGTTTTCTATGCTGGCCTATATACCAAGTAACTCAGAAAGCTACTCATTTTGAGTGGGGCCGGGAACAGGAGAAAGCTCTTCAGAAAGT